TTTCTTTCTTTCTTTCTTTCTTTCTTTCTTTCTTTCTTTCTTTCTTTCTTTCTTTCTTTCTTTCTTTCTTTCTTTCTTTCTTTTTTTGTAACAGTCTCACTATGTAACTAGGCTGGCCTTGAACTCACATATCCTGCCTCCATTGCCCCAGTGCTGGGATTACAAATGTGGACTCCTATGCTCAGCCTTTACTTCTTTGAGGACTTATCTTTTGCCTAAAGTAAGCCATGGCTTGGCACCCTCTGCCCTCAGTCTGACCTAAGTTCCATGTACTTTACAGGGATTCCTTTGTGGTTCTAGACTGTTGTAAACCCTGTTTGCCCCACTTCCCATTGTGAGGTGGAGGCCTTCCTCTCTTCAGAAACCTACTGTCTCTTTGTCCTCATTTTTCTTGGCTTTAGACTCCAGCTCAAGCCCTGCTTCCTCCAGGAAGAGTTCCAGGAAGACTACCCTCATAAAATTCAAATGGTGTCCTCTTAGAAAAATGTTCTCTGCTGATGGTAGATCTCATCATCTGGAATTCTATCGACTTGTCTTCTAGACTGTAAGGTACAGAGCGTGGGCAGTATTCACCCATGCACCCATTCATTAATTCATCCATTCGATCACAATATAGGCATAGAGAGTCAAGCACACATGAATCACAGTACTGAGTGCTTTCACCTCCTTTCTGGTGTCTGTCACAGTTTATTATTACTTTGAGATAAGGTCACATGTAGCCCAGGCTGGCCTTGAGCTCACTATGTAGCCAAGGATGACCTTGAACCTCTGATTCTGTTGCTTCCACCTCCCCAGTGCTTGGATTACAGGTATGCAACACTACCCCTGGTTAATGAGGTGCTGACAATTGAACCCGGGGCTTCATGCACGCTAGGCCAGCACTCTACAGCTAAGCTATATCTCCAGTCCTTTCGTAGATTATTTAGTGAATAAATTTACAGCCAACTTCAGAGAACGATGTCTGCAGAGGTGGTTGATGAAGAGAAAAGAATGCTGGGACCCTAGGGGGTGGGATATTGCCACAGGCCCAGGGAACATGATAGGAGATGTCACGAAATGAACTGTGCTTACCTAATCAGAGCTGGTGTCCTGCAGTTGGCCAACAGGAGCCACTGGGAAGTCACTCAAGAATGCAAGGCCAAGGGCAAGGAGTGAGCCAGGGACTGGTAATGGCCAGACTGTCTGATATTTATTGTTGTTGTTTCTGAGATATGATCTCACCATGCAACTCTGGCTAGCCTGGAACTCTCTATGTAGACCAGGCTTGTCTAGAATGAGTGGAGATATGCCTGTGTCTGGCTCCTGAGTGCTGGAACTAAAGGCGTATGCCACCATGCCTGGTGTGATCTTCTTTGGTTGTGCTGAGAAATCTCAGATAGGCACAGGAAAGCAGTGTGTCTATGGCTGGATGCTCTATGGCTGGAGCCGGGCACAGATGAGTCACTGTCAAGTACAGTGAAGAGCTAGGGCTCTATATTTTGGGGTTGGTCTGTAACACATATGAAACTGAAGTTTTCAGAGACTCTTCCTTTTCTTCCTTCCTTTCTTTCTCCCTCTCTCTCCTTCCTTCCTTTCTTCTTCCCCCCTCCCTCCCTCCCTCCCTCCCTCCCTCCCTCCCTCCCTCCCTCCCTCCCTTCCTTCCTTTCCTTTATTCCCCCAGTAGAATGGGATGAAGATAAGTGCTTACCTGACAGGGCCAATGTGAGGACTGGGTGTGATCCTGAGCGTTGTTGACACGGCCTGCATACGATCACAGCATAATGTTGACACTTACTCATCTCAGACTTGAGAAGAACAAACTTTTGCTTCACTTTGGAGGTAAGAGTGCCGTCACTTCCTCCAGCCCCTGGTATGTACCAGCCAACAACAGCACATTGCAAGGGTCTTCCATTTCTTTCCCAAATGTCCCTGTGGCTTGGTTGCAGCTGTATCTTCTCCATCCATGTCTGTAGATGAAGTTCAAAGCTGCTATTCCCCATGAAGAAGAAAGAAACTCAGTGGTAGTGTATCTTCTCTAACTGCAATAATTATCCCAAAGTAGCAGGTGATTCCTAGATAGCTTTTTAAAATAAAAATCACAAATACATTTATTAAACACACTATGAGTCTGAGTGTATTCATGCCTGCGACTCTGCACACAGGAGGTTGAGGCAGGAAGGTTGTGAATTTGAGACCAGCCTGGGCTACACTGGGAGAGATACGGTTCCAGAACAACAACTCCCAAACCAGCCAGCCAATACAACATCAAAACCTCAAAAGACACATGGTGAATAATTTCAGTGTTTTTTTGTTTTGTTTTGTTTTGAGGGTTTTTTTGTTTGTTTGCTTCTGTTGTTTTCTCAAAGCAACAAATCTCATTCTTTAGAACTGAATGTCTTGGGAAACATAGAAGGGAATTCTCTATCTGACAGCAATAAAGACATCTTTCCTGAGGCATGGTTTACTCATAAAAATCCAGTTTTTTTCCCTGTAAGTGGGAGAAGACATATTTTGGATAATCTTTTAAATATAACACTAGGTTTAGATAATGAGTAGTTATCTTGGGGAACCAAGTTGAACAGAGTATAGCCCAAAGGAAGTTTGAAAGAAACGCTTACAAACAATTTGAGATGTCTTTCCACAAACCCACATGTCTAGATAGGGCCATTGTTCTAACCATTGGGCCAACTCTTTTTGGAGCTGCTCAGCTCCTAGGGGTTGGTGACTATGATGCTCAGCTTTCTCTCAATATCTCACAATACCCGAAGCATTCAACTCATCAAGAGAAAAGGATTATTTCGGCTCATGGTTTTAGAGACACCACTGCATGCTCTGATGGCCCCAGTGCCGTTGGTGGTGGTGAGTCAGTCCGTCACAGCAGGAGCTCATGGCCAAGCAAAGCCACTCACTACATTGCCAGGTGGAAAAAGGATGGAGTGGGCGTCCACCGCCCCCTTCAATGATACACCCTCAAGGATCTCCCCAAAGCCTTTCTCCCACTCAGTCACCAACCAGGAACAACCTCATGGGGATCAAGCTTTTAGTATCTTGGTCTTTGGGGGAACAATGAGATCTAAATTATAACAGTGACTGGGTTGGGGTGAAGCTAGAGTGACTCCCAGGTTTTCTGCTTTACTAACTGGGTGAATGAGGGGCAGGGTCTCAGCTGATACTTAGGGAGCCTGGACAAGTTTGGGAGTAGGAGATTCAAGTCAAGAATAGAGACTAGTTTAAGGCATCTGCAGGGTGTTGAGGGGGATGTGGATCTGAGGCACCATAAGAGTTACTTAAAGATGCAGAATGAGAAGTCAGGAATGCAGCCTATCGTGGAGGGCACTAAAGGTCAAACCATAGAGCATTGCCATTTGGAGAGGGAAACGGGGTGGGGAGCCAGAAAAGATGACGGCGAAGGAAAAATAATCAGAAAAAGATGGTAAAATCTGGGAGTTGTGTGCTACATCAGCCATCCCAGGGGAAAGTTTAATCCATTGAAAATGCTATTGAATTCCAAACACCAAAAGTGCACGCAGCCTCATTCATAGTGGAGAAATACTTAAAATAAAGAGGCGCTCTGATTTTAAGAGGAATGTGTCCAAAATACATTCTATACTTGTCTGAAAATGTCCCAATGCAACCCAGCATAATACATTTTTAAATAAATCTTTAAATATATAAAATATACTATAAAAGAAAGGGGAAATGAGAATATTTTTAATATTTCCCTTCCAATAATTTTAGTGGAGAAAAATAAAACAATAAAAAATGAAATACTCAGAGAATAGCAGCAAACAAAAACAATGAAGAAGTATCAGTTTTGTTTTGTTTTTGAGAGAGAGAGAGAGAGAGAGAGAGAGAGAGAGAGAGAGAGAGTTTCTCTGTGTACTCCTGACTATCCTGGAACTCACTCTGTAGAACAGGCTAGCCTTGAACTCAGAGATCTGCCTGCCTCTGCCTTCTGAGTGCTGAGATTAAAGGTGTGTGCTACTATGCCCGGCTTAAGAGGTACCAGTTTCTGAATATAATTCTTGTAGAGTAGCTTTGCATTCACAGAGAAATAAGTGGAAGGGAGAGGGACATGGGTTTGTCACGTGCATCCGTCCCCCACACATGCCCTGACTTCTTCCCGCCAGTGCCTCAGCCAGCACTGTAGTTGCTGGGGCTGGTGAACCATGCTGTGTTTCCTCACTATCACCTAAACCTGCAGTCATCATTGGGGATTGGGACAAGTATGCGATTGCTTCCTCACTGTCACCTAAACCTGCAGCCATCAGTAGACACTTGGGGATCGGGACAAATATGCTATGGTTTGTTCACAGACAGGGCAGCAACCCGAGTCTTCTCACCACTGTCGCAAACCTCTGTGCTCTGATATTCCTCCCATCTCTCCCCAAATTCCCCAGCAACATTGATCTTTTCCTGTCGACAGAGGTTCTGCCTTTCCCAGCAAGCCACACAGTCACAGTGTTGGAGGCTGCCTCTCGCACTTAGGCAAATGTGTCTGAGTTTCCTCCATATCGTTTCATGGCTTGATACCTTGGTTCCTTCTCAGTTCTGAACACTGCTCTCAGCTCTCAGCTCTTATCTTTGGACACTCTGCCATGGTGTAGCTTATTTATCCTCTCAACTAGGGAAGGATATCTTGATTACTTTCAATTTCTCTTCCAGTTTGGCAATTATGAATAAAGCTAATTATTAATACACGTGTGTGGATTTTTGTGCAGATGTAAGCTCTCCACTCATTCAGGTCACTTTTCTCAAAAGACCTACCAAGTTGACAAGAGTGAGAAAGTTTAACACTGTGTGTTAGAGAATATGTCGGGAAATAGGCATTCTACATGGTAAAGACACACACACCTGTTGGCCCTGGAATTCCCCTTCTGGAAATCTATTGAACAGAAATGCTTACACACATATATGAAGAGTTTGTTCAAAGATATTGTCATGGCCAGAGATTGGAAACAAATGTCCTTCAAGAGGGACTTGCATGGTGGCACAGGTCTCTCATCTCAGCTACCTGGGGGGTAGAAGTAGGAGGATTGCAAGCTGAAGGCCTGCCTGGGATGCAGAGTGAGTCCACACCTGGCCTGTGCAACTCAACGAGACCCTTCCAAATATCACACAGAGTGAAAGAACCCAGAGATTTAAAAATTACCATATAATTTCATTTATAAACAGTTCAGAAAGGGCAGAATTACAGGAATAAAAAAGATGAGTGCTTTCCCAGGATGAGGGGTGGGACAGACCCTCAGGGAGCTCCAGGGAGAAGACACTTCCTCCATGACGTAGGAAGGGACTGGCACCTGGTTTCCTTTGGTTACATTTTAGTTAGCATTCAAAATAATGAGCTTCATGGCATCTTCATAGATGTAGATCATTGCATTCTGCTAATATTTACCCCAATTTCTTTCTCTTGTGTCCCATTCCCCTCCTCCTGTCCCTCTTCCTCCCCCAAATAATCTTTGTTTTCACGTGATATATAAAATATATGTGGTGATTTGGATAGGAATGGACCCCACAGGCTCCTATATTTGAATGCTGGCCATTAGGGAGTGGCACTACTTGGCAGGGGATGGGAGGTGTGGCCTTGTTGAAGGAAGCATGCCACTAGGGGTGTGCTTTGAGGTTTCAGAAGCTCAAGTCAGACCCAGTGTTTCTCTCTTCCTACTGCCTGAGGATATAGATGTAGAACTCTCAAGCTACTTCTCCAGCACCATGTCTGCCTACATGTCACCATGGTTTCCACCATGATGAGAATGGACCAAACCTCTGAAACTGTAAACCAGCCTCAATTAACTATTTTCCATTATAAGAGTTGCTATGGCCATGGTGTCTCTTCACAACAATAGGACACTGACTAAGACATGTGTGTACAATTTATTCATATAATTTAAGTTGATAGTTTTTATTTTGTGTGTATAGTGTATATGCATGTATATGTGCAGATGTGGACGCCTATGCTTGTGTTTGCGTCCACACATGTGTGCGAAGGCCCAATGTCAACATTTTGTGTGTATAGTTCTCTTACTTTCCTCCATCACTATCTCTTCTGTCCTCTCCACTCTTCTCCATGACTGTGCTTGTCAGCTGAACACCTTCCAGAAGAAGACCACATATCCAAGAATATTTGGGCAGCTTGTCTTGAAGGATTTTTAAAAAATGACACAGAGTTGGGTGCATAGAAAAGGAGAAGACTAATAGAGACAACTCCATTTTATAATACATTTTACATTTTGAGCAGAGCATGGGTGCACATGCCTTTAATTTTAGACTTTGGGAGGCAGGTGGATCTCTGTGAGTGTGAGTTCGAAGCTAGCCTATCTATATAGTAAGGGTTTTGTTGTTGTTGTTGTTTGTTTGGTGTTGTTTTTAAACAATGTTAATTCTGTAATAGAGCTAGATTTAACAACAACATATTCCATTTAACAGCCATAAAAAGTCTTTAAACAGGCTGGCCTGGTCTGCAGTGCTCAGGAGAGGGGCCTGACCTGGTCAGTGATGCTCAGAGGCAGGAAATTTAATAGGGTGTGGCTGGAAAGGGCTCATCTGCCTGTGTGCTAATGAAGCAGCTCTTGCTGCTGAGTCTCAGTATGAGAGGGACTGAGCGAGGACTACCTGTGAGGAGTTGAAAAGTCAGTGGGGAGTGAAAAGAGGAGGAAAGGCTATGTGGTCATTTCCCAAGAAAACTGTCTATAATGCATATGGAATAAACATGTTCCAACCTTTCTGGTTACCAAAGAAATGCAGATTAAAATGCTAATCCCATGGTTCACATGCCTGCTACAATCTGATAACCTGAGTGGGTCTGGGTGCGTGGAAGGAATGTGCAGTCTTCGTGGAGA